AAAAACAACTGAAATCAGAGTGTCGGGGAGATATTTGTACACCCATGTCATCGCAGCATTACTCACAATAGCCAAAAGGTGGAAGCAGCCCACGTGTCCATCAACGGCTCAGTGGATAAACAACATGTGTTATATACATACAATGGAACATTCTTCATCCTTAAAAAGGAAGGAAATTCTGACATATGCTACAACATGGAGAAACATTGAGGACATTATGCTACGTGACATAAGCCAGTCATAAAAGGACAAATACTCTACGATCCCACTTATGTGAGGTATGTACAGTGGTTAAATTCATAGAGACAGAGGGTTGAATAGTGGTTGCCAGGAACAAAGAACAGGGAGAAATTGGGAGTTATTGTTTAATGGATGCAGAGTTTTGATTTTACAAGAGAAAAAGTTCTGAAGACGGGTTGCACAACAATTGAATATACTTAATATGAACTTAAGAATACACTTAAGAATAATTAAGGTGGTAAACTTTATGTGTGTATTTTATCACAATTACAAATCAAAGCATTTATAAGTAACATTCTTAGAGATAATATTATGTCCATGAACAAGAATAGGATGCTATAAAAAAAAAAAAGTATCAATCCAAGAGGCCCAATATCCAACTAAATTAGAAAATAAACAAATCCAGAAAACAGAGTGGAGGAAATTAGCCCAAAGAAATGTCCCCACAATTGATTTCCAGGTTAAAAGATATTGACTTTCAGACTAGAAGACCCACCAAGTGCTCAGAGTAAATGCACATCATCAGGAAACGTTAGACCTCTGGAAAATTCTAGAAACTGCCAGAGAGAAAAACTGGCTCACACATACATGATTAGGTATCTAAATGTCATTTGACTTTTCAACAGCAGCAATGAATCATGTCCTCAGAATTCTGAGGGAAATTTATTTCCAATCCAGAATTCTACACCCAGCAGAACCATCAGTCAAAGCTACTGGACTACATGCTCTGCCAAAACAAGGAAATAAATCAGGGCGGGGTGGAGGGGGTGGGGCAAGGGATCCAGAAAACTGGACCCAGCCCAGGAAAAGGGCAGAGGAAATTCCTAGGATGGTAGCAGAGCAAAATCCCAGGACAACAGCCACACAGGTCTATAGAGTAGTCCAGATCGGAGCCCAGAGAGGAGGCCTCCAAGAGGGGTGCGTCTCTAAGAAACACAGAGACCTAAAGATCACCCAGTGAGTTTGACCAGGCTGACAGTTGGGAGATGAATTAGTGATAGGTCTGCAAGGAAGCTTTTGGTTTCTTTGATTACATACCAGGTACTTCTGGAAAAGTCAAAAAGTTGCCCATGAAAAAAGCTCCCAACTTTGCCTCAGCCATCACTACTTCATAGATTGGCGTGCAGCGGAATTTTTTTCTTTTTTCAATTTAATTTTTATTTATTTGTATTAGTTTAAAAAGTCACACAGCTGATTTATAGGAGACACAATTCAAAATAACGTTAATCTGCCCTAGCTGGTTTGGCTCAGTGGAGAGAGTGTCTGCCTGCAGACTGAAGGGTCCCAGGTCCGATACTGGTCAAGGGCACATGCCCGGGTTTGGTCTCCATCCCCAGTAATGGGTGTGAAGGAGGCAGCCTGTCAATGATTCCCTCTCATCATTGATGTTTCTATCTCTCCCGCCCTCTCCTTTCCTCTCTGAAATCAATAGAAATATTTTTTAAATAAATAAATAAAATACATTAATCCTCTGCCCCACCCTTCTCCAGTCTTAATTCTCATTTCCAAAGACAATTCTTCTACACAGTTTAGATGGCACTTCTGTCATATGTTCTTAAATAACACTTCTAATTCAGATTTCCCACTTTTTAAGACATGACCTCCCTGCTATGGAAGATGAAGATTTAATGCTCTTTTATCTACTCCCATCAAACACATGTTGCATCCTCCCTCCCGGTTTAGTTAGAATATTTTGTTGTTGTGGCGTCATTACTCGGCGTTTAATTAGTATGACTATGGAAATATTCAAAGCTGGGCCTTGAAGGGTGCCCACTGAGGAAATAGAAAGGACGATGGAAGCTGGGAGGGCAGTTGAGTCCTCCAAACTTTAGAGTCTAAAGGAACAAGTTTGGAGGAAGAAGAGCAGAAGGCCACGCCGGGGGATGTATGGAGGAGCCTCTGAGGGGAGGAGTGGTCCTGGGGTGGGAGGGGTATGGGAATCCCTGCCAAGGAAGCCCAGGGGAGTGGCTAACAATGTCAAATACTGCTTTGAGGTCCAAGGACTTAACATAAAAACAGACTATCGTACTCTGCGATCTCACACGGTCCTGGGTCCTCACCCCCCAGAGAGAATTTGCCAAAAGCAGTGGGAACAGCCCAGAACCAGGTCTAGGTGAGCAAGCCACCTGTCTGTGGCTTCTTGCTCTTTCTTATTCTCTGGTAGTAAAATGCGTGCAATACCAGAGATATACTTATATAAACAATTGTTGTTTATCTGAAACAAATTTAACTGGGTGTCCTGTGTCTTTATGTGTTAACCCCAGCAACGTCGGGAGGCTAGCCTTGGACAAAAGCTTCACAGCATCTCTGCCTTGCAAATTGAGACTTTGCTATTGGCCACTCCCACCAGCCCCCTGCCGTTTGTGGGGAGGGAGCCCTAAGGCAGGAGCTACAGCAGGATTTTTTAATGTCCTTCAGGTCAAAACCACCAAAGTCCGTTCTAAAAAGGGGGTTGGTTCAGTTCATGTCTTCATTAGATCCCAGGGCTAATGTGGCACCATGAAAAGCCCTTGAATGATCACCGGGCTTCTCAGAGCCTGCTCTCTTGTGGGGAAATGAGGTCACGTCTACATCTCCGGGGTGAGAACAGAGGGAGACTTCCATGTCCTTCTGGTGTAATTTTTACCACAAACACGGATTATTTTTATAATCGGCCAAAGGCAGTAAAGACATTTCCATATTGTAAATAAAATAAAGGAAGGCTGCAGTAGACCAGAACTCTGTGCGGCCCCTCCAAAGCTATGATTCTGTAATTCTAAGTAATTTCTTGTTCTTTATTTGCATGTTGTTTTAGAGCATTCAGAAATGCGGCCTTGTTGTGGATTTTTTGCTTTTATTCCCCTAAGGCAGCGGTTCTTAACCTGTTGGTCGCGACCCCTTTGGGGTCGAACGACCCTTTCACAGGGGTCGCCTAAGACCATCAGAAAACACATATATAATTACATACTGTTTTTGTGATTAATCACTATACTTTAATTATGTTCCATTTGTAACAATGAAATTGGGGGTCACCACAACATGAGGAACTGTATTAAAGGGTCGCGGCATTAGGAAGGTTGCGAACCACTGCCCTAAGGATTCTGAACTCAGCCTCTCACTGCTCCTGCCCTCTACCCTGAATGTTGCCCCCATTGTGAAGCACATCACTGCCCCCCACTCTCAGAGGACTTGCTTCCGTCTGGCCAGGCCCGAACGTCTAGGCTCATGTCTGACCTGGAGGACTCCCCAGATGACCTGTTCTACAGCCAAGGAAAGGGCTCAGGTGAGAGCCTCCTATGGTAGCTCCTGGGCCCCCATCAGGCACACCTGGGAGTCTAGGGAGCTTGTGTCTTAACAAATCCTGAAAGGGGAGGTGTGTCCCCACACTCAGGGACAACTGTCTCCTTCCCAGCACATCAGAACCCCTCCCTAGAAGGAGCCCCCACTGGAGGGCCCCGGGGGGAGGATGGAAAATGCCCCATCCACATGCAGCATATGGATGCAGAGAGTGAGGGCCCGCTCATGAGGGCCACTCAAGCCTGAGCGGGCCCTAGTTCCACCTCCTACCAGCCTTGTGACCTTGGGCAAGTCACTTAATTGACCTGGGCTGTCCTGAGGGTCCAATGGGATACCCAGGGCAAACCCTCAGGGGCGCTGGGCAGTGCTGGGCGAAGTCACCGTCCGTTTTCTCTGTTTAATCCTCTGGAGAAGCCAGAGGCGGTCCTTTGGCCAGAAAGAAGGAGCTTTTCATCTGCTGTGCCCACAGGCCCCCAAAATGCTCTGGAAGTTTCCTGCACCCTCAAAGGATACCCTCCCTGCTTCGTGCCAAGCGAGGGGCACTAGCAGCCACTGGAGCAGTGCCTGGGCCTCCCAGCTCAGACGAAGCGCCTGGCCCACGACCTTGGAAGAACCTGGAAGAGAGCTTCACCAGGCGACAGTACTTTTCCACTGCACCGCTCAGGCCACCTCAGCTGGCTCCCTGCATGTGCAGACAGGAGGCAAAGGGACGCCAGGCCGCCCCATCAGGAACCCATCCAAAACCACGTCATACTCTAGCTGTGTAGACCTGTGTGTCGTTGCAGGGGATCCTAAAAGAAAGGAGGGGGTCGCTAATGCGCTCTGGAGCTTGAAACCACCAGTGATTCAGAGAAT